ATAATAATAATAATAATAATAATAATAATAATGACAACAAGAGCAATAAAAACAATAAATCAACACTAATAGTAATAAGCAACAATAGTCGGTCTTATCTAATTCCAATTATTAAATAGCAAACATTTAACATTGCTAAAAGCGGTTTCCTGTGACCATACAAAGGAAATAACATCAATTCTGAAGGAACTGAAAAATGCGAGCCGAAAAGCAATAGCGAAGACACATTAAAACGCTTTCAGCTTTCTAGTTGCATTAATGAATGTGTAAATTAAATGCAGCCAAAAAACAGAAGCGAGTAGCATGGTAACTAACCTTTTCAACTTCTTTTCCAGTATACTTGTTTGCTGCAACTACTCCATCACTGTCCCAGTCAGTCCAATAAAGACGATCTTCAAATACAGCCAAAGAAAAAGGGTGTCGCAGAAGATCATGAGATCTGAGGACAAGCTTTATGTCTTGCCCATTGTAGTCGCATGTCATAATAATTTTCAATTTCGCATCAGCCCAGAAAACGCGTTTATCCAAAATATCAAGAGCTATACCATTTGGCCACTGAATTTTGTCACCACTTACTATAATCTAAATTCATTAATGCTTCACGGTCATCTTTAAATTACAAAACGACAGTGTTCTTAAGAAAGCGTAGATCAGAGGCCACTAGTACACCAGACACCTTCTTTTGAATGAAACATTATAAAAACCATATTATCAAATCAATTAAACCCTGCAAAAAATAAGTTGAACTGCAGTGTGTCACCTTTCCAAATATTTCGCCCCACCTTTAACAGCACAATTGAATTTAAGAAGTAAAAGAACAGAAAAGCAAACCAGATTCAAGAAAAGCGAATACACAAAAAATTACTTTTCTGTCACTACCATCCATACCGGCTCGCTCAATCCGAGCCTTTGCCCCCCAATCTGACCAGAAAATGAGACCACGACTGGGATCGACGGCGATAGCCCTAGGCTCGTCTAAATTGTCAGTAAAGAGCGTCCGCCTTTTCCGTGTAATGAGGTCCAGCACATTAATCTAAAACATGACTCCATCCAACTCTCAAACAAAGTAACTTGGTAAGGAAGGAATGTTTACAGTGAAGTCAGATCCCTAAAAAGCAAAAACTCCAAAACTCCTACCCCGAAGAAGTTTAGCAACTTCATAAACATGGCGTTTACTATACCTACGTTCACTAGTAGCGGAGAAATCCGGAGATCAATATTACTCAGTCTTCTCTTCCTTTACTTTCCATAATACTTATTACTTAACTTCCACTTCACATCCACCTTTCAAAAATGAATTACAAAAGTTCAAGAAAGATCCTGCTTTATAAGTCCAAAAAAGCAAATTTTGCTTGAATCACTGCGGAAAACTTTGGCAAGAGTTTAAAAACCACCAATATTGCAAAAATTATTTTTGAACGTCTTTCTAAAAAACTGATCTCTTGGCATATAAAAAATAAAATAAACAAGGGAGATCTCTAAACATAATGAATGCCATTTCAAAAGTATCTGCGTAGGAGCAGCTGGTGCATTTCTGGAGTTCAAATCTATCCGCTGCATAATACTTCAAATCAATCAGAAGAATAAGAAACAAACAAACCTAGCGTAGACTAACAGTGGAAAATGAGTGGTTGCATTTCCCTGTCAATACACTGCTACCAAAACAGAACAAGAGGGCACCTTTCCATGTACTGTCTTTTTTGTTGACAGTGATAAAAACAGATTATCTTTTTTAATTATCTTCAACAAAATGTGGAATGTGAAGCTGCCGGTAATGCTAAGCCTGACCCTAATACCCACAACAAGGTTTACCTGTTTGAGAAGATAGAAACTACTGTTAAATGGTAGTGATTAACAAAACACAACTCATTTTTTCATCAACAATAATAACGACAGAACATTACTGGTCAGAATCAAGAGAAAGCCCTGATACGTCACAAAAAAAAGAAAAAGAAAAAAAAAGCGAACACCTTAGCAAGTGAGACCATAGGGCTTGGATATAATGTCTTTTCTATTCTATCACAATTACGAAAACTTATTTATAATGACTTCCATTTCCCGAAACATCTACACAATATCTTTATCAAGAAAAAACTTCTAAATCTCTGCCACGACGACTTCAAAAAAAAAATGATTTTTTTAGTCTCCACCTTCCCAAAAGCTATGTAGTGGTCTAAAAGACGTAATTTTCAAATTACAAAACTTATTGAGCCTTGTAATGATACTATAAGTCTCTAGCCTGTTTTTGATAGCCTTTTATGAAACGCCCTAAAAAATGAGATGAAGAGTGGTTGCACGTAAAGTTGTTACATAAACTGGTTGTCAAATTCTAGTCCAAGAAACCGCCCTGTACAACCTTATGTTTTAAAAGATACAAAAAAAATTGAGGTAAAAGACTTCTCAGAAAAAACTGGAAGCCACAAAACATAAAATGCAAAACAATATAAAAGGTAGTTGAAATATTACTTAAGTTGAAAAAGACCAAAGTGAAATATTCAAAATTAGTTCAATTGTTTACTTGATCTAATCCTGTGTCTGTCCAGAACAGCAACTGGTGCACCCAGTCAACAGCTAATCCATCAGGTGTAACGACTCCTTTGTCAACAAGTACTAAGTTCTCAGTGGTACCACAATCTTTTACTTCATGTAATGTTTTATCTTTCCCTAACTGGCAAATAAAAATTTTTTCGCTAGAAACATCTGACCATATCAGTGTGCCATTCCTAAAACCAATTATTAAAATTCATTAAATATACCAATTTATGATGACTTTAAAAATCAATCATCTTTTAAAAATATTAGGCGACAAATCCATAAAAAAAAAACAATTCTCAAGGATTACCAACTTTCATTACCAAAGTTAAAGCGTTTCTGTATGAAACAGAATCAAACCTTTTTGCATTACCTCATCAAAACAAATTAAGCAAAATTCGAAAATAAAAACATATCGCCAGCTTCTGAGATATCCAATCAGTATAAAAAAAAAACGAAAGAGAAGAGAAGTAAAAACACTAGGCCTTGTAAATAATAAGCCAAATCTATCCAAACCAACAACTAACAAGAGATCTACTTGAAAGCATATTGAAACCTTCTACTCCGAATTTGAGCTCAACTTAGTCAAAATAATTTTTGCCTTTATTTGAAGCCTTATTTACTTCCGACACTTTCCTAATGAACGAATGTGGTACGTGAGCGAAAAATTTAAAGGAACCTCAACTTCATTTAAGAATGTCGACAAAAAGGCAACTCTAACATTACCAAAAAAACAGCTCTTTGTATTACCAATCTTTAAATATTAGTTTAGAATTTTTCTGTTGAAAAGTATTTTCACCATAAGTTTGCGAAAAGTAAGTTATCGCGAGCACTAAAAAAAGATATTTTAGAGTGATATTTCACAAACAAACTTGTGCAAGAAATCCATTGCGACAGCTGATTCCACATTCGGAACTAGAGTCCTGTACTTTTTGAGCTGTAAATCAAAACCGCGAATAGTAGCCCTATTGGACAATAAAATGAATGGATCGCTTCCAACCGCACGACAGACATGCACACGAAGGTCGCCAGAATACGAGCTAAACATTCCAAATAAACCGGAATAATCTTTTTAGTAATTATTACTCATGCAACTAAAAGACTTACTGTCGCGTTATGTAACGGTATCCAGGATAACATTCACATCGGTAACCTCCATCAGTATTCACGCATTTCTGGGGACACACGCCAAAAGTCTGGCATTCATCGATATCTGCAGTCATACTGGGGAATGAAAAAAAAAGAGCGTGATCTATTAGAAATTGGCAAAGACAAAAATCTTCGAATCAAAATAGATGTGTAAAAACAAAAGAAAAAATGAGAAAATTTTGAACAGTTCTATTAAATCACAAAGATACCGTTGAATTCTTACGCAACTTTCTTTAAAACTGTTCAAATCCTAGGAATCAAGCTCTAATTAATCCTACTTCAAAGCGAAAATTATAAACTGCTACCAAGCACTTGCAGATTAATACCCACAATACTTCAAATACAACCGGGTGACTGGAAAGAACGCCAAAAAGTCACAAAAAAAATCCGATAAATCCAGCTATCATTCTGACAGCACTATCTAAAAAACGACACTCACTACAAACCTTTACATTCTCCTCCAGTATGTGTATAACCTCGAGGGCAGTAGCAGAGTGTCCCTTCCGAACCGATTTTACGACACTTGCATTTGTTTGCATTTGGGTTGCACAAAGCTGGAAAGAAGAATTCAATATCAAATTAAACAGTAAAAACCTCAAAACGAATGCAGTAGAAGAAGTGGTAATTATCCTGACTACCACCTTACAGTTAAATTTTAATACAATCACCTTAAGTCATTCTGAAAATTATTTTTCTGTTATCAGTCCATTACTTCCTCACTCTTCCTAAACACCTTCCAAGCAATAAGACTTAAATACAATTTACCATACTACTACGGTAATTAAACTTATTACAGAAACCACTTACTGATATTCGTATTGCAAACAGAGTCTACACAGTCATTATTGGGAACACCCTTCTGGCAAAGGTCATCATAATTAACACAGTGCAGAGGAGAACTAGGGCACTTAAACTGCCACTGATCACAGTCTTCTAAAAATTTCAATTTAAATCAGTTATCAAAAAAAGAATGAAGATTAGAGATTGGCTACGATCACTGGTTGAAAAATTCTCCAACGTACCTATCACGAATAAAATTAAAAGAATAGGCGAATCACGTTT